GACCTAGAAAAATGCTAATTTTTTTTTTTTTGGCAAATTTACTCTGCACTGAAAATATTTTGCCCAGCTCTAGTGAGGATGAGGTTTTGTAACTAACTAGCAATAAAAGTCAAACAGACTAGACTGCTTTCATCATCCCAGCAGAGGGGAATGCAAAAATAGTAAATGGTGAAAAGGAAATAAACTAACAACATGGGCAGGGAACCTTGTTTTTCAGAAATGAAATTTTCAGACTAACAGTTTCCTTTTAAGTTGCCATGCTCTGCTGAAAGTTATGATAGCACATTCTGTTTCTGAACTGTCACGTAATTTGCAATAAATACCCATCTTCTGAGCCTTCATTAATTATTCCAGGACTGCAAACAAAGCTCACAGAGCTGACAACAGAGAAGTGTCGGTGAGTAAAGCAAGTTTTGTTCTCTACTCCAGGCTGTGGTGGTAAAGTTCTGTTGGAGGGATGAGGAAGGGCTGCACTATTTACTCATAACATTGAAGGCATCTGCCCTAGGCTGCAGGCATCCTTAACTTAAAAACCCACAAACTGGAACAAGAAGGCAAGCCCGAAAGCAAACTCACTGTCTTCTTTTAATATAATCTGCAAAGCAAGCAGCAATGCCCTTACACTGGAAGCCACCTAGCGAGGGCAGTTCAGATTTACCAAGCTGTCCACTCAGAATTTGTGGATACTGTGGGGCACATAAAGAACCTCTTCTGAGTCTCCTGCCCTGGCATGGCATAAGTGTTTAAAAACTCTTTGCAACGCATCCAATCAGATTAAGCCAGAGATATTCTTCTCCCACCCTACCCCCAGTCTGACATTTCCTAACTTTAAGTGTGTGACTTTGTAACCTTAAGGTGCACGCATAGGTTTGGGTTGTGGGTCGGGGGTTGGCGTTGTTGTAACACAATATATATAGGCTGGGCAGTCTTTAATTTTTTAAATAATTTTGATGGATAATATCAATGTTTATTTTAAGCATTTGTTTTATTTTTAGCTATTTAAAGTTTACAGTTGTGCAGAATTATGGTTTTAAGCATTTTTTTCTGATTTGTACCAATTTAAACTTTCACAATTGCAGGAAATTATGGGGGGAGTGTCAGAAAATAATTATCTAATGACCTTAGACGCTATTCAAAAAACACAAATTGTCAACATCACATGACAAAATATACCACGTAAATAGCCTTAAATTAAATTATAATATATTCTCAAGCAGCAGTTTTCTTACCTTGCCTATCTGTAAATTTTGATTATTACCAATGGAAATATTTTTTCGTTGGTTTCTGTGTACAGTGAAATTGACATTTATCAGCATTCACCAATGAAAACCTATTCCTTCCACGCCTAAATATATGGAAGTGACAGACAAAGCAGTGGTATCCAAGACCTTTATCCTATTGAAGTTTTCATCATGTATCCCTGGGCTTTGAGTCAGATTCCATCCCCTGTTGTTAAAAGAGTCTGTCATCAGTGCCCTTCTGGTTCACCCAATATTTAGCTCAGAGGAGTCTGTACCCTTTTGTTTTCCATACTGTTTATCCAATGGGATTTGTTAACCTTGCACCAAATTGCTCTGGTGCCAGCATTTAATGTGTTTCTATCCCCATCCATCCAATGCACTTACTGCTACACAAAGCAATAGTAGTTTAGTAATAGAAATAGTGTGAGTGGCGTGACTGAGCTAGTGTATAAATCCTGCCTGCTGACAGTACATTGAGAAGAAAGCAGCAGATATTTGGGGCAAATCCAATGACCTTCTTGTTTTGTCCCATGCTGCCTCCTGAATTAGAGATGCCCAGAGAATTGAAGAGCTATTTGCTAAAAACCACCAGCTAAGGGAACAGCAGAAGATCCTTAAAGAAAATGTGAAAGTGTTAGAAAACAGGTAAGAGGTGTGTGTTTGTTTGATTGATTGATTGATTGATTGAGAGACCTAATGCTGTTGTGTGCCCAATAGTATACATGCCTACACAGAGCTTGCTTTTCAGTGTCTTTTCAACGAGTGAAATATAGCATCAGAATCTTTTTTTTCTCACTAACTAGTGTTAACAAATTGAGAACCCATGGGGCCAGACTCTGCTCTCAGTTACACCAGTGTAAATGCAGTAAATCCATTGAAATTAAGGGAGTTGTTGCATTTGCAGTGATGTGATTAACAGGCGTGCCATGTGTAATACACAGGAGGTAATTGTCCTGCTCTTCTTGACATTGGTGAGACCTCAACTGGACTACGCTGTCCAGCTTTGGGTGCCACATTTGACAAATTGGAGAGAATCCAGAGAAAAGCAACAAAAACGATAAAAGGGTTTAGAAAACCTGACCTATAGGGAAAGGTTAAAAAAAACCCTGTATGTTTAGTCTTGACTGAAGTGGGGCCTTCAAATATGTTAAGGGCTGTTTAAGAACAACAATGATCAATTGTTCTCCATGTCTGCTGAAGGTAGGACAAGAAGTAATAAGTCACCAGGACCAGATGGTATTCACCCAAGAGTTCTGAAGGAACTCAAATATGAAATTGCAGAACTAACTGTAGTATGTAACCTATTGCTTAAATCAGCCTCTGTACCAGATCACTGGAAGATAGCTAATAAATGCCCACAGTTCAACTACTACGTGCAGCTCTGGTCGCCCATCTCAAAAAAAGATATATTAGAACTGGAAAAAGTACAGAGAAGAGCAACAAAAATGACTAGGGGTATAGAACAATTTCCATATGAGGCAAGATTAAAAAGACGGGGACTCTTCAGGTTAGGCAAGAGATGACTAAGGATATGATAGAGGGATATGATAGAGGTCTATGAAATCATGAATGGTGTAGGAAAAGTGAATAAGGAAGTGTTATTTACCCCTTCTATAAAACACAAACCAGGGTGATCCAATGAAAGTAGTAGGCAGCAGATTTAAAACAAATATAAGGAAATACTTCTTCACACAACACGCAATCAACCTGTGGAACTCGTTGCCAGGGAATGTTGTGAAGGCCAAAAGTATAACTGGGTTTACAAAAGAGTTAAATAAGTTCATGGAGGATAGGTCCATCAAAGGCTATTAGCCAAGATGGTCAGGGAAGCAACCCAATACTATCGGTGTCCCTAAACCTCTGACTGCCAGGAGGTGGGACTGAGTGACAGGGGATGGATCACTCTATAATTCCCTGTTCTGTTCTCTCTGAAGTATCTGTCACCAGTCACTGACAGAAGACAGGATACTGGGCTAGATGGACCATTGGTCTGACCCAGTATGGCTGTTCTTGTGTTCCTAAGGAATGGGCTTACTCTACAGCCAGGGAGATTTAGGATAGATATTAGGGAAAACTTTTAAACTATAAGGGTAGTTAAGTGCTGGAATAGGCTTCCAAGGGAGGTTGTGGAATCCCCGTCACTGGTGGTTTATAAGAACAGGTTGGACAAACACCTGTCAGGGATGGTCTAGGTTTACTTGGTTCCGACTCAGCACAGGGGGATGGACTACATGATGTTTTGAGGTCCCTTACAGCCCTATATTTCTATGATTCTATGTAACCGAGAGCAGAATCTGGGCCATGGAGTTTACTGAAACTTTTTTCACTTGTGTTACTATCCACTTTGAAAATTCATATCTCCACCTGATTGCCATAGGGAAGAATTGTGTATCTCTACACGCTGTGTCCAAAGGCTCACTAAACTAGACGTGTGGATTTTTGCCCAGCATATCACTGTCATGGTGTAATGAATGCCAGATTTCGACTTTGTCCTGGTGCTGTAGATCTGCCTCCAAGTGCAGGTGGGATTCAGTTTCATTTGCTCGTATAGCCATGCATGGATAACTTAGCTTCTTGGCTCTGGGGTTTTTTGTTAAGGTTGAGAGCAGGTCTCTGTGACAGATGCATGGTTGCCCAGGAGCTCGCCAAGAAGAAGCAGAATGAGTATGAGAACTCCCACTTCCAGAGTCTCCAGCACATCTTCATCCTCAGTAAGTACAGAGGCTAAATAGACCTTCAGCTTTGCCCTGCTGGCATTTTGCACTTTTGCACCTTAAGTGTCTGCTGATCATTCGGGCACAATCGTATGTGCAATCCTGGGGGCACATGTCGGGGGGTGCAGATCTGAACATCTGGGCCTAGGAAAATCAACATTTCCTATAAACACTAAAGATTTTATCAAAGAGATCTCAACACTGGACTTTGCTACAGCACGTGCATATGGGCCGGGCAAAGTCAGCCACTTATAAAAAGATCCATTTGGCAAGGTTGAGGCAACACTCTGGACAATACAGGAAATCTACAGCAGCAACTCTGCACTGGTAAAGGAAAATCAAGCAACACGTATGATTAATTTTCTCCTGAGTCTTTGACAGCACATGAGCACTGCACAAGCCAAGGGTATTTTTCTCTCTGTCTCTGCTATCCCTGGGGATTGTGGTATTTTGTTTTGCTTTGCCTTTGGAAGAAAGAGAAAAGTGTCAGCAACTGCGTGTTTATTTCCTCATTATGAGTTTGATCTTCCTCACTCCCTGTACCTCAAGTGTCACTTTCACACAGAGGTGTAAAAGCCAGGTGCTGGTTGGTCATATATCTCCTTTGTACTGTAGCTGTCTGTCCTCTCTACCCTTCATTGCCACTTGGCTTGTAGCAATCAGAAGAAGCACTTTTCACCCTAAAGATCCCAGAGTTCTTTGGGAGAAGGAAAGGGAGTTGAGACTCCTTTGGAAATCTGGGTCTTTGTCCTGGTAGACAAAGCAGGTCTCTGTTTTAAGGTCTCATCCCAAAGACCCACCCAGAGTAAACTGCGAGGAATTCCTTATCATACTTAACATACTTTCATACCCCCATTGCACAGCAAGCCCATGCCTTAACTACCATTGCAAAGAGGCAGGTACCTGTACTTTACAGCGAAGGATGCCATCAGTATGAGGGTAAGCTCCTGGGGGGAAGCAGGTGCTCTCATGGAGAGGAGATGCTGTTTACTAATAGGGATCAGCCTGCATTTCCTAGTTACTGCCCGTTCCTGGAAGGATCATCTCCTAAAGATGATGCTTGCAGGAGAGACATTATAGAGCCAGACTCACTGATGGATGCTCTAAGGCCATTCCCAGAGGGCATGCTGCCTTCAGGAGTTATGACTCCCAGCTGTGACATCACCGTGGATAATAATGTGTACCCGAAGGCAGACATGGGCATTTTAGTCTGTCTCTTGTAATGCTCCAGTAGGGGGAGACGGAGGGCAATGAACAGCCAGGTCGACTACAGCAAGGAAGTTCACGTTGCTGGGTATTTAAGGTAGAAACTCCCACCTTTGCCACATGGTGCTGGAACGCTCGCAGTGCACATTTCTAATGGGGAAAAAATCTGCAAGCGTTTGACCTTAAACAAGCATTTTGAAGAGGCCTCGTTGGAGGGATGCTGAGCACTTGCTGATTGGCCCTTCTGAGCCACTTCAGCTGCAGAGCGCTTGGCATCTCGTCTCTGGAGGGGTTCGATGGAGGGTGGCAGGAGAGATTTCACCAACTGCCCTGCGGTCATGGCACATCTGTGCCTTGTTGTAAAGCTGTCTCCTCAGGGCAGCATTCAGCTCCCAGCATCTTGCCCACGTCTGATCCCTAACCTGTCGCACTCACTGTCTCTCTCTGCAGCTAATGAAATGAACAGGCTGAAGGAAGAAAATAAAAACCTGAAGGAAGAACTGAAGAGGCTACGGAGCCTGGAGTAAGCTTAGTGCTGGGTTTAACTCATTGGGTGGCGTAGGGCCGGCCAGATGGCTCCCCTAGGACCCTGGCACTACCCTGGACACTGTTGAGCCAGCCCAGTATGAGAACCTCCTGGCCAAGGGAGTGGAGATGCCTGTACAGTCTGCACCATTGTTTTTATTCCAACTTCCTAGAATGAGCTTCTTGTTCCTTCCCTCACCCATCTGTCCACCAGCATGTAATAGAGACCTCTTCATCTTCAGCCTCATTGGAACCAGGCAGGATTGATGCTTGGCACTGGTGATGTCATGGGGTGAAATGGGGAGGGGGATCATGGAGAGTTCAGGGAGTTTCCTGACCCTGGGTCCCCTTTAGTCAGGTTCTTTGACTGAATAGTGATCGCCCCACTAGTGAATGGGAGAATGAACCCCTACTCTGACTGCAAGTGTATGCTGAACCCCTTGTCTCTGAGACTTGAGGACCAAATGGCACTCGTTACATGCCTGACATGCACATAGTGCACTGCTGCTAACGTGCTAATTATGTGGGGTGAAATCCTGGCCCCACTGATGTGAAATGGGAGTTTTGTCAGTGAGTTCAATGGGGACAGGATTTAACTCTTGGTTTTTATTATCACCAGCTTCATCACCGTTCACGCCCTGAGTAAATCTGTAGAGACACCTGTCTAGATCTAACAGCTCTTGGCAAAGCCATTGGGACATTGGGCAAAGGCAGATCTGCAGGGAATGGATCACGTTTCACATGGGAAAACGAACTGTGAGAAAGAGACTCAGGAGGGATTAGGAGGGGAGAGGATGTTTGCTATAAGTAGTAACCTAGCAGAGCACTTTGGTGAAACCCAAGTAACATGTCAGGTTAGCCAATATATACAAATCAGCTCATTCCTTAGGGGTTTAAAATCCATAGAAATTATCATAAAGAGATCAGTAGAGAAACATGCTTGCTTTGGAACCCAAACGTTTCCTCAGTTTAACACAAATTCTCATATCTAGTATCTCTCAAATGACTGCAGAGGTTTCTAGACCTGGAACTGGCTTGACTTACTGAACTAGAGCTGGGCAAAAGTTGGTTGCAAAACCTCCCTGCATTGGGGCCGTATATGGCTAAACTGAAACCCCTGCCAGGGTTACCAAGTTTTGTCACAGAACGTTGAGAGCACATGGGCCAGTCGTTGGTCTGCATTGAATCCACACCAATGTCATGGCTTCCCATGAAATTTTGCACAGCAGACTAAGAGGAAACTCAGCTGCATCAACTGAGTTTTGCTTTGAGATGCTGTCAGGGCTGTACTGGGGTTTTGGGGTGCCTAGGGCAAAATCTGAAACTGAGACACACACACACCCCCCACACACACACACCCTTACAAAACATTGCCATGGATATGAAAGAGTTGAAGAAGAGGGGAGGGGAGAGGATGAAGGTCAGAGAAAGCCCAGGTGTGTGGGGTCACTGCCTTCCCCATGGGGATGGGAAGACTGCCCTGTGTTCAGGCGGGGGGCCACTCCTGGTCCCATCTCTCCCTGAGCTCCAGCACTGTTGCGAGTGGTATCCCCAACCCCTGACCCTGCTCCTACCTCCAGGCTCTCGGCCTGGTAAGTCGCCTCAGGCTCAGCATGATAAGGCTAATGGCGGTGACAGAGGAATCTGGACCTGCCCGGGGAGGGCAAGTTGATGGCAGGTGCCAAACTTGAGTGGCACTGAAACCCCATGTGCCAGCTCGCAATGACTCTCACTCAAATTTGGCCTGGCCACCCCTCCATCATTTTGGGAGTCCTCTCAAACAGACGGCCTGGGGCAAACCGCCCATTTTGCCCTCCCCTCTGGGTGGCCCAGTTTGATGTATTGGTTCAGAGCAAACCTCAGCGTGAATTTCAGTTGTGATGAGCTGAAACGGAAGAAGATGTTTCCGCGAGTGCTCGGGAAGCCCGATCACCTTGTTTCCCCGGGCTCTTGAGTCGTTCCACATTCAGTGAAGATGAAACCCTGGCGCTCAGAGCTCGCGCCGGGGCAGCCTTCAAACTGGTGGTTCCCGTCTCATTTCTTTTTCCTTTCATTTGTTTCCTTTTCATTGCAACAGTGACAGAACAAAGCACCAAAGAACCCTCCCCAGAGAAAGCAGCTCCATCCCGGACTCACCTTTGGCTTTACTCTCCTCAGTAAGCCGGAAACCCAGCACAGACAAAGCGACTAGCAGAGAAGCAGAAGAAGGGTATCATGAACAGCCTGGCGAACAGCTGGGAGAAGGTATATACTGCTGGCTCCAGGATAGGGGGTGTAGGGACCAATGACTGGGCTGCAGCAGTGAGTTATTCTGACTACATCAAACGGGAGCAAAAGCCGAAGTCATCAGAACCCCAGGATGGACATTAATCTAGAGCATGATATCTGGTTTGCATGGAATTGCATATCAAATAATACATGAGCTGCAGTGCTTTAGAGGAAAATATTCTCCTGAGGTGCTCCAGTGTCATCCATCGCAGATGATGTGTGGGAAGTGCGAGTCTTTTCCCTTTATTCTGGCAGCCTCCTTCCAGAGAGCACCTAGGGCTCCATCTGGAATCAAAAGTGAGACAAAAAGGTTCCCTTTTCAGCATTGGCCTCCAAATCCACATGCCCACTATTACGCATGCCACTGATTGTACCCCCATATCGGGCACACTCCCATTAATGTGCAGGCAGCCTTTTGCACAACAAACCAGGCCACTGATCTGCACACACAAAGCACCTGTTCGTGCGTTTTGTTCCTTCCCCCTCCCCTGCCCCCATTGTCAATTGCACATGCAATCGAGCATACAAATTCAGGGGCTGCCTTGAGTCTGACAGAAAATTTGGCTCCAGATAGCTAGAAATCTTCCTTGGGAAGCACTTGGTGCCCTGCCAGCTTTTTATAGCTGTGATGTGCTGATTGATATCCCAGTTATCAGACTGGTTGGCCGCTGCATTACAGCGCCATGTGCAGATGGCACAACTGGGAAAAAACGCAGGGCAGACGCAATGGAACTCTACACAGCTTTCACAATGACTGGCTATCGCCTTTGTTTTCAGAGACATCTGCAGGACAGAGATGTTCTCTGGGCAGTAGGATTTCTCCAAGTGCTGTTCTCCAAGAAGCACATGCTCTGGAAATGGTAAGAGTTCTGTTGGGGATACTTAGCACTGTCAATCTGTCCTCATCAAGTTGAGCATCGTTCCCGTGGGGACCTGATGCTGGATAAGCTGTGAAAGGGATGGGACGAGGAATGAAATGGAGGCACGTGGGATGAAGTGACTTGCCAAGGTCACCCGGTACATCACTGGCAGAACTGGAAACTCCTATTGTATCTCCTGCTGATAAAGTCACCGTCCCAGCTTTGCTTTCACATTTATATTCCCTAGGAGCCTCAGAACTTGCCTAGCAGCAGTTGATCATTATCGTGTGACCGCATTCATTCCTTTTCAAATCACACTGACTCCCCGCTTAAATAGGTAGTTGGAGAAATCTCTTAGGACTGAACCATAGGGGTATTCCACAGGCCCACATCTGAAGCCTTATCCTGTGGGATATTTTCAGAGAGATGGGGAATCCCTGCCATTGTCGATTTTGAGCTTGTATCTTTCCTAACCGTCCACCCCTTTGAAACTGAAAGTGCATTTCAGCTGAGGGATCCGGGGCGGGATGCAGTGCCAGACGTCGTGCCCCCAGAGCTCAGAGGCCATAGCATTGGGTCTCAGATGGAGCTCAGACACACGCGTGCTTAATTCTGGCCGGGGCCGGCTCCAGCTTTTTTGCCGCCCCAAGCGGCAAAGGGAAGAAAAAAAAAAAGATAAAGCCGATCGGCGGCAGCTCAATCGTGCCGCTTCATTCTTCGGCGGCAGTTCGGCGGCGGGTCCTTCGCTCCCTCTCTTCCTCTTCGGCGGCACTTCGGCAGCAGCTCAAAGAGGAAGAGAGGGACTGAGGGACCCGCCGCCAAATTGCCGCCGAAGACCCGGACGCGCCGCCCCTTTGTATTGGCTGCCCCAAGCACCTGCTTCCTTCGCTGGTGCCTGGAGCCGGCCCTGATTCTGGCACTGGAACCAGTGATCTGAACTCCATGTAAATATGAAACAGCAAGTGAAGGGGGTTTTGCTGAGGCTGCAGGCGGGTTGTGAGAGTAGTTAATGAAGATAAACAGTAGAGGTTGGTGGCATCGGAAAGTGGGTAGGCAAAAATGTCGAGTAAGGGCTTATTCAGAGCCTTTTTACAACAGCAGAAAGATCATTCTGTACTGGCCGCAGAATAGGAACCTCCCCTGGAAATAAACCAGTGAAGCAAATGAATGCTGTAAGCTAATGCAAATAGGGTCTAATGGTTTGACCAAAGGACTGGAAAAGTGACCGATCTCGGCTAAGCCACTGACTCCTGGCTTGACCTTAGACAAGTTACATGACTTCCTGCTCCGTAAGTCAATGCATCTGGAAAATAAGGAATAAATTAGGACTTGCTGAGAAACACGATGCTGTGTTGGAATGGAGCCTTCTTGGGGAAATACGTGGCTGATTATTATTTAAAATTCCAACACCGTATTGAAGAAGCATTCAGCTGTTCACTGGAAACGTAGCAACTCGTTTTTATCACCTCTTGAATGTAAATGGATATAAGACAAAATGTAGCCTCACTAACAAAGACCACTAGTAAGCAGGGATTTCTGCTGTCATTGTTCTCTCGTCAGCTAGGCTTCTTTCACCTGGGGATCATTTCTGAGAGCCCTTTAGACCACGCTGAGCTTTAAGCCCAATAGTCCTGGACATGCAAACTTTTCTCCTCTGCCTTTAGACTTCTCAGAGGATAGCTAACCAGCTGCACGGAACCATCGCTTTGGTGAGACCTGGCTCCAGACTGTGCCTCCCTGAAAAAATCTCGGCCAGGAGAGCAACATCACCAGCAGCAAGAAAAAACTCACTGTTCCTGGAGCGTGAGCGCAGCCCCAGCCATGAGGCGTGAGTAGCATCGTCTCAGTATTGATACATCGCAGTCTCCTTGGGCCTGATCCAGAGCCCATTGAAATCAATGGAAGAATTCCCATTGACTTCCAGGGCTTTGTATCAAGCAGCTGTTGTGTTACTGGTGGGTTTTCTTTTTGCTGCTCTCTCTCCATCACAAGCCAGTTCTTCTAGCCAGCACATAAGCCCCACCATGGTCTTTGAACCAGGAAGATCCAGTTCACACAAATTTTGGAGCTTAGGCTTAGATAAGGCCTCCAAACCTCTTAACTCCAGCAAACCAGGCTGGAAATCTCACAAGAACAGACTTTTTCATGAGATTCCCACTATTTTCTGCAACTATCCCAGGCAGAAAACACCAGGAGCCTGGTTCTTTTGCTATCTTGTTATTGTTCCTTCAACCTTAATGAGTTTACTCCTGATCTACACCAGGGCAAATGAGAGGACAAGCAGGCCCCTAGAGAACAATCTGTCAAAATATCGCTGGCCTTCTGCAATTGGCCAGCACTGAGAATTGCAGAGATTGACACAGAAGGGAAAAAAATTTTGATTTGAGCACTGGGCAGAGATCCCCACTGCTCCTTATCTAATCCAGTTGGCTTTTCTGTGGCGCTCGTCACAGTAACATCTGAGCTCCTCACTTCCCATTAACTTTAGTGGCAATTAGGGCTGAGTGAGACCTACAGACTCATTCAGAAACTGTAAGATCCCCCCTAGCAAACGCCTAGCTTGGATGCGTTCTCCATGAAGCCGGGCACTGCCAAATGCCGAGGAATAGTAACAAGGAGGGACTCAATTTATAGAGGCAGGGTTTTCTGAACACAGTTTGCACAGCTCACCCATTGCTTGGGCCTCTTTAAATGTGTCTGTAAAACTCTACAAGCGCGTATGTTGAAGGAAGGAGGAAAGACTCTAGCAGCAATGTAAAACTGTCAGGTTTTGGCAGCCTAAAGCTCTATCTTCAACTGGACGCCACTTGTTCATGTCTGTGTAACCCCCTGGTCTTACAGGTCCCCCTGTGCTTTGTCCATAGAGGCTCTGAGCCAGCTAGAGAGACTTGGCTCTTTGGCTCACGCTGGAGGTCCCTCTTTCAAAGAGCCTTGGCTCTTTGTTTCTGGAAGTCCCTCTTTCAATCCTTGGTGTGGCACACAAGATGGAGGCCATCACAGGAGCTTTAGTGCACAACTGATTGACCCATCTACAGCCAGTAGGCACACACCCATTTTTACAGACAGGCAGACAGCGTAGTTGTGCACCCAAGTGCAGATTTTGCACAGATGTATTTACTGTATGCATGACCTACTGTAGGTGTGCCAAAGTGGGCGTGCACCCTTTGCTCCAACGTATCATTTTCTGCCCGTGTAAACTGGCAGAGCTCCATTGATTTCAACAGAGCACTGCAAGTTTACATCAGCAGCGTATCAGGGGCAGCACATGGAAACCCGGGGCTAAAAAGGGACACTGTGATAGTGAGGTGACCCACCTGGAAACTTGCCTTGGATGTGTTTGATGATTTTTGTTTGTTCGTTTCTTTCATTTAGTTGCTTAAGAACAAACAAACCAGATTCCCACAAAGCCACTTCGTCCTATGGAACTCTACCGCTGACCACCAGGCAGGAGCAGCTCTGCCTTCTTAACAACCATTTCTCTCTGCCCCAGTTTGGACTCAGGAGTAACAGCGCTTCTGCAGATAGGGACAATAGCTTGCCAAGCCACTTGCTACAGGCCAGAGAGACTGAAGACAGAACAAGGCTGCAGGAGGAATGGGAAGATCAGGCCGCCATTTTAGAACTCCCTGGAGCTGTGGTGTACATGCGGGACCAGCATTTGGAGGAGAGGCTTCCGTTTCTTAAGCACAGAGAGAGGCTCCAGTATCTCCTGGCACAAGAGCATCAGCAAGGATTCAGGGCCAGGACAGAAGGCGACCAAAATGCAACTCCGGTTCCAGCGGCTCCTGAGGACAGGCCCCTTTCCCCACAGCCGACCATGGGGTGCAAAGAAGAGAGGTCGTACCTGGAGGAACCTGTAGAAGGGAAAGTTGTTTGGATAAACAGGGACAACGTGGAGCAAAGGGAGAAGGCAGAGGCAGCAAGAGAATGTCTCCTGGACACACCTCTGGACCTGTCAGATTATGGCAGAAGGAGTGAAAACCTGAAACCTGCCAGCTGGCACAAATCCCCCAAACAGCGTGAGGCTGACAGTCCAAGTCCAATCCGTACAGAAAGCCCCACTCTTCAGACAGGCCGGAGCTCCAGCGTGCTGCCAAGAGCAGAGCATGAGAACTCCCACCTAGCCTGCAGCCAGCTCCCTGCGGCCAAACCCCTGCAAATCGGCCACAAGACTGAGCAGTTCAGTGCCAAAGAGCAAGAGGCCCTTGCGGCACCTTTGGTGAGTACATCTTGCACTGGCATCCGCTTTGCCTCCGCAGGGAGGCTGTGGTCAGCAGTCCGCTTGCTGGGCCGATCGCAGTTTAAAATGGGCATCACCACTATTGCTGAAAGTTCTGACCTGATGGCTCTACTGTGGCCCAGAGCATGTGAAACAGGTTGGTGGTGCCAGTCCTGTCCCTAGTGGACAGATTTGCACATTGCAAAACGATCACCACAACGGGCACTGATCAGCGTCCTTGCTCTCCGGCTCAGAGGAAACCCAGGACTGAATGGACCATGGAAAGTAACTACCCTCTAAGCCTGGGGGTTTTATTCCTCTGGGTTAGGATTAAGGTGCATTGAGAGACTCTGCGCCTGCCACTCCCCTGCTGAATCTGTGCGTAGGGGACATCAGGTTCTGTGGCAATGTCCCGCAAATACACAGAAACCCCTATCTGATGTTGTCCGGGGCAGATGTGCATCTTTGCAGTTATACTCATTGCCAGGCTGGAGTGGGGCACCAGTTTTTTTCACCGCCTTAGGAGAAGGCAGCGTCTCTAGCAATAAAGGCATTGGCAGTTCTTCCCATCAGTTTGTAATTAATACAGCTATTGTCATGTGTTACAGGTCCCTTCCTCACAAGGACAGCCCGCGGGCAAGCTAACATCTTGTGATCCTGCAACAGATTCAGAGATCAGGGTGAGAGTGTCTCCTAGGGCACAGAAGCGAGAACCAGATGCTCAAACAGGTAAAAAGCCCCATGGAAAAGCAACAGTTGAGAAGGCAGGAGCAGACAGTGTTTTGAGCCTGGTGTGCTGATCTCCTTAGCACTGGAAAGTCTATGGACGGCGCTTCCGAAACATGCATGCAATATATGGCAATTGTTTTAAATTTTGTATTCTAAATTCCAAGAGGAAGACTTCCAAAGGCACAAAGGTCACCTGGGCACCAAACTCCCATGGCAGTCAGCGGAGTTGGATGCTTACCTCCCATTTGTGCCTCGGAGAACCGCTCCTCAAGTCTACAATTTTCAGACGTACATGTCTCAATGTGAGACTCCTCAGTTCATATATAGGTACCTAAATGGAAGTGGCCTGATTGTCAAAGGTGTCGAACATCGGCAGCTCCCTGACATCAAACAAAGCAGCCTCAGGACTGCTGTACTTTGTGCCAGTCATCAACAGACCCCTAAGGGCTGTTCCTGCACCCAGGGATCACGCCCAGCGTGCACAGATGCCCTGGCTATGCCCCCTTTCACACAGGCATGTCTCTATACCAGGGGCCAGAAGGGTAAGTGGCATAGGAGCCATGCAGTGGCTCAGTCATTCAAGGATCCCCCCATCCAGTGGGCTAGAGCTTTCAATTTTCCAGCTTCTTTGTGCCACCAGAACTGGGTCTATGATCTGGACCAGCAATGAAGATAAATAGCTGCTTATCAAATAGGGGAATGAATGCTTTGGGGAGCATTGGGAATGGAATATGGAGCCATCAGCTACAACTGTAGTCATCACAAAAAAGGTGGGGGGGAAATACTGTTTATATAAAATACTTTAGTAGGCACTGGGGATGGACCAGACAGACTGCTTTTTTATTAGTAATTATTATTATTTATTATTATTATTTTATTTTATTTATTATTATTTTATTTGGGGTATACATTTAGTTTGAGTCTCTATTATGGTGTTTTTAAATAGTTTCCATGCAGCTTGCAGGCATTTCACTCTTTTGACCTTTTAATTAACAATTAATTAAATTGTGGTCCTTTGTTGCCAGCAGCCAGTCTCCCCTCCAAAGAGCAGTAAGAGGTACCTTAGAAGTTAGGGGTTAGATTTTTAAAGGCAGCAAGGGCAGTTTAGGTGCCCAACTCCTACTGGATTTCAGGGAGTAACTGACCTTTATACCTCCATAAATCTGCCAATGTGAGTGCGGATTGGGTAACTGGGCTCCCAAACAACTAGATTTGGTCATTTGCAAGTCCTGGTTAGCTGCAATCCCAGTAATTGGGTGCATACATTAGGTGTGCATTTGGTGTATGCAATTACGTGCCTGAATTTTGTAACCTCTGGCCCAATATACAATGGAAACCTTTTGCAGTGAAGTCAGTTTTGATTTTTTTCACAGAACAGATTCACTACTGTGAAACTCCACTACAGTGCATTTCAGTTTTTCAGTTTGTCCACTGCAGGAATTGTTTTGAAACCTATTTGGAACATCTGCGCTGGTTCATTCTGGCTCTGGTCCTGCAGTCCATACACAAGCAAAATTCTCATTGGCCCTGTCTAGCCTAGAAAGATAGGTTGTATTTAAAAATCGCACAACCTCTCTTCCCCATCTAGACATGGCCATTGACTTCAGTAGGGGATTGCTACATAGATACAGCAGGGTGCGATTGACGGAGTTTACTGTAGATTGTGTTCCCCACAGTCATTTCTTTTATATTGCTATTCTGAAAGTCAATCCCCTTACGGCGCCAAAACACACACACTTGGGACTTGGACCTCACGAACCCTGTGGTGACTTCACTTTGGAACCCAGTTTATTACTGGGTCAGACTTTTGCTTAGCTCAGCTCTGGGCCAGACTCACCAGTCCGCTCCCGTTACTTGGTGCTACTCCAGTGATGCAAGCAGGGCTGGCTCCAGGCACCAGCCAAGCAAGCTGGTGCTTGGGGCGGCAGCTTGTAGGAAGTGGCATTCCGCCCAATCCTAGGGCGGCATGACCGCTTTTTTTTGTTCCACTCCGGCCGCCCTGTAGGGGGCAGCGGCGCGGAGGACGGGAGCACCCT